ATAAAAAAAAAATCATCATTATTTCACTTTTACCCCTTCGCCCCCTCCCCCTCCAGCCGATAACTCTGGACTCATATTATTATTTGGCTATAGCCCTTTCCACCTCCCACCCCTGCTCCTCCCGACGCCACACCAAAAATAATGTTAAACAATTTAATATCAACAATAATTCCATCCCCCCTTATGTATTTATTGAGTACTGAATGGACTCAATGGTAAGACTCGGAAATGGTCTTAGATTTTGCATCTTAATTTTGCGTGCATCTCATTTTTTCGCAGCATCTTAGACCTCACTCTACTTAAACCACCTTGAGAATCTCAAACTCAGATTCCACTTGAATCTTACATTTCGGATCTTATAATTTAAGATACGAAATAGATCTTATTCCTGGTTAAGACCCCTTCAGTATCTTAATTTTCATAAGACGCCGTCAAAAGATCCGAAATTTATCTTATTTTAAGATTTTTTTCCAGTCTTATAGTCTTAGATCTTAATTTAAGAGCCCTCCTAAGAACCGAATTTTTGTAGTGTAGTGGCGCTTTGGTTTCAGTCTTACGCTTACGCTTATTCGAGATTTTCGAGATATTTCGAGATCGATTTCCTTTCTCCTTTTTACGATAGGATTATTATTAAATGGGCCCACACTTTATAGTATCACAAAGTATGCATTGAAGATCCTGTATTGAACTCCAATATATCCGTTCGTTAAAAATATATACATTTATTATGTCAAGTTCAACCAGAGAGGTAGAAACAATTTATTTACAGAATATTTACAGAATAACAATCATCTTTCACGACGTGTAATTTTTGGTGACACCACTGGCTGTTTGGAGCACCTTTCGTGATAACCGCATGCTCCCCGAGACAGGATCACGTCCGAAGTATTTCACCTGGAGTTCCTGGCCAACTTCGATGTTGAGAGCACTCGGATGGACGACCGAGCGTTGATCCAACTGGGAATTATGGAGCAATGCTGGATGCATATTTGGGTACAGAATGACCATCACCCCAGAATCGCGAATTTCCACCACTTTAGCTGTGTAAATTCCCCCGAACTCGAGTTCCGGCGCTTTTTCCTCGACCAAGATCTTACTGATCATCTCCTTGGCCTCAGCCATCGCCGTTTCGTTCGGAGCAAAGAGGGTGTAGACATTTTCCTCTTGCGCATGAATCTAAAAGTAAAAATTTCAGTGAAGATAATGAGAAAGTCATCAAGATAATGGGGAAATACTCACGCTGACTCCAGTTTCCACGAGAATTTTCTTCAAATTAGACCCTCCGATCCCTAGAAATCTCCCTCGCTGGTGCACCGGCACCTCTATAGTCGCGTTAACTGGCATGTTCTGCTTTCCGACTCGAGGGGATGATATCACGGCATTCATCTTCCCGAGAATTTCATCCTTCGCTGATTTCGCTCGACTGATGCTCTCCATCACAATTTTTAGGGGAAGACCGGGAATTTTTACGTCCGCTTGGAGCGCCGTTATCCCCTTTTTCGTGCCGGCTATTTTGAAATCCATATCTCCGAGGTAATCTTCAATTCCCTACAATTGAAAGAAGTTATTGCATCCCTGGGACTGCAATCTTCTAAGACCAATTCATAAAATTTTTGTTTTCATCTCCATTATTGACGAAGGGTCATACATTCTTGATGATCAAAAGGTATTTGTGACCTGCGTGACCCTCGTGACTCTAGGAATCGCAAATATAATTTCGTCCTCGTAACATCAAATGAGAAACTAAACCTTGTAACCGTGTTAAACAGATTTTATCTCTACAAAATTTGACTTTTGTGACCCTCGTGACCCTTTCAGAGATAGATGGACTGATCAAAGGTCTTGACTACTCCATCCGTCTCTCCCATTTGACCCTCGAAACTGTCAGACCTTGTCTCCGCGGTAATCTTCAATTCCCTGCAATGAATGGAATTCATCGCATTCTTGGGATTGTATTATTTATTAGTCCATCTTCCAAGACCGATTCAGAAAATTTTTGATTTCATCTCCATTACTGACGAAGGGTCATACATTCTTTACGATCAAAAGGTCTTCGAGACCTGCGTGACCCTCCTGACCGTAGAAATCGCAAATTCAATTCATCGCATTCTTGGTATTGTATTCTTTATTAGTCCATCTTCCAAGACCGATTCAGAAAATTTTTGATTTCATCTCCATTACTGACGAAGGGTCATACCTTCTTTATGATCAAAAGGTCTTCGAGACCTGCGTGACCCTCCTGACCGTAGGAATCGCAAATTCAATTCATCGCATCCTTGGGATTGTATTCTTTATTAGTTCATCTTCCAAGACCGATTCATAAAATTTTTGATTTCATCTCCATTACTGACGAAGGGTCATACATTCTTTACGATCAAAAGGTCTTCGAGACCTGCGTGACCCTCCTGACCGTAGGAATCGCAAATTCAATTCATCGACCTTGGGATTGTATTCTTCATTGGTCCGTCTTTCAAGACCAACTCCCAAAATCTTTGATTCCATCTTCATTACTGACGAAGGGTCATACCTTCTTTATGATCAAAAGGTCTTCGTGACCTTCGTGACCATCATGACCTTAGGAATCACAAATATAATTCCTACTAACACCAAATGAAAAACTAAACCTTGTAACCGTGTTAAACAGAATTTATCTCTACAAAACTCGACTTTTGTGACCTTCGTGATCCTTCAAGAGACAGATAAACTACTAAAATTTGACCCTAAAGGGAAAAAAACCCTGAAACTCCCTCCCCCTCAAAAATTATTCTTTCCAACTCACCAAAAGATCCGTAAGTATCCTATAATCCTCGATCCTCTCCCCATCATACTTAGTGACGAGCCCAATAGCGACCCCAGCAGCGGCCGTAGAGATCGGCACCCCGGCATCTAAAAGCGCCAGACTCCCTCCGCAGACGGAAGCCATGGACGATGACCCATTGCTCTCCAGGACCTCGCTGGTCAGCCTCACAGTGAACGGATAGTCCTCAGGGATCACCGGTCTGAGGCCCCTCTCCGCCAGGGCCCCATGCCCCATCTCCCTCCGGCCGATGGGCCCAGTCCGGCCAGTCTCCTTCGTAGCATAAGGCGGAAACTCATAATGCAGGAAGAAGTTCTTCTCCTTGATCCCGCTCGTCAGCATCGTTATCGTATCCATCTTAAGCGCACTGTGCAAAGAGTCCAAGGTGACGGTGCAAAGCACCTGGGTCTGACCCCTTTGGAACAAGGCAGAGCCGTGAAGAGGCTTGAACAAGTCAACCTGACACGAGATCGGTCTCAAGTCCGTGAGCTTCCTGCCATCGCATCTCACGTCGTTCTCGAAAATCAGAGACCGGAAGATGTCTTTGGAGATCATTCCGAAGGCGTCGACAATAGCTGGTAGATCCAGATCAGAGACACTGCTCTTCATAGTCTCCAAGACGTTAGTCCTGAGGTTGCTGATAGCAATGTCCCTGGAGATCTTGTCGTGAGAGTAATCCATGAAGATGTCTCGCAGTTTGATTTCTGATAGGGAGCGGACAGCTGTCTTTAGCTCTTCGCTGACTCTGGGGGCTTCTTCGAGGCTTCTTTTGGGTTTTCCGTGGGCTTTGGCTAGGTCGGAGATGCCAGCGATGATGCCCTGGCATTCTTTGACCCCAGATTTGATCGCTTTCTTGAGATCTTGGTCTAGGATGGCATTCGCACAGCCGTCTAACATGACCACAAGGTTGTGCCCAGCGGCTGCGATGATCAGGTTCAGAGAACTCTTCTGGATTTCGTGGCGTGTCGGGTTTATCAGGACCTCGTTGTCTATGAAACCGACCCGGACTGCGCCCACGGGACCGTTCCAGGGGATGTCTGATAGGGCTAGGGAGGCCGATGCCGCGTTAATCGCTAGGACGTCTGGGTCGTTCTCCCCGTCGATCGCGAGGATGTTGCACATTATTTGGGTGTCGAAGTTATACGAGTCGGGGAAGAGGGGCCGGAGGGATCTGTCTATGAGCCGACTTGTGAGGATCTCGTGCTCGGAGGGGCCTAACTCGCGTCGCAGAAAGTTGGTGGGGATTCTACCCGCGGCCGACGCCTTCTGGCGGTAGTCGACGACTAGGGGGAGGAAGGAATTTGAGGAGGCGTGGGTCTTGCTTACTGATGTCGCCATCACTGAGGTGTCCCCGAAGGTGACGACTCCACAGCCGTCAGCGAATTTCGCTAGCTTTCCCGTGGATATTGTCAGGGGTTTCTTGGACGTCCTGGGGGACATCAGGATTCAGTTTTCATTGGAAATTATTTTGGATGTGATGATCTTGATTTGTAGAGGGGAGATCCTCAAAAATTATGTCGTAACTTATTTTCAAAGAGCTATTGTTTGCCGTTTTTTAGGAAGAAGTGGAGAACTTTCGTTTCGAATTTTGATGTAATTGTTTATTTGGCTTCAGAACGAGGGGTTTCAGACGAAAATATCAAATTACCAAAATATCTATTGACATTTGAAAAACTTTGAAAAATCGTAAGACAAGATGAATTATTTCATTTTTAAGATGAAGAAATTTGTTTATAGAGTAAAAAAAGCTACAAGAGAAGTATTTATGGACATTTTGCCTTTTACTACGAAATATTCAGCAGGAATTGAAGCCTGAAGAAAATTAACTCATCAATTTCGTTTCTTCCTTTCGTAATTTCACTAGTTGAGGATATCCAAGTACTTTGGCAATTTTTTCTCCAGTGAAACCCTTTTCTACTTTTCTAGTCGGACATCAGAGCTTTTATTTGAACCCCATTTGACCATAACTTTCCAGACATTTTACAATGATTATTATTATTTAAATTTTGCAGTTCTGAATTTGAATCTCGATATTGAACCGTTAGAAAACATTTTAAAAATCCGAAAAAATTGCAAAGTTTACTTTTAAGAGAAGATTCATGAAATAATTAAAAAATTTCCATTTGCGAAAATTACGAGCATTTTCAATAAATAATTTATAAACAATCAATTCTCAACCATAAAAATCATTTGTTTGGAATCGCAAAAAATTTATTCACATTCAGAATTTTACCAGAATTCCGAAAGTTTAAACAATTCCATTTATTCCCTTATAAACGAGTGTTTAAAAAAATAATAATTCTGTGCAAAATGTAATTTTAATGGCTGAATTTTCCTGCTTTTGTTCAGATTTTTCTCACGCAATTTAATTGACAAATGTGATGACTGAAAGTGGTTGACTCTGTGGTCTGTACCAATCTCTAAAAAATACTTGGATATCCTCAATTATAAATTTTCGTTGGGGTTTCATCATTGGATTTCGAGGTTATCCAAGCCGACGATGGAAGAATAGATTGCACTCACCCATGAGATAATGATACACTGACATCCGATGAATTCTGGAAAGACGATGCCATCCGGAGTTGATGGAGACTTCCATTTCTTAACCTAATTTGGTGTTTTAGGGGAGAATAATGGAATTTTCGGGAGGGAATTAACCTGAATGTTGTTATTGATGCCATGATGCCGGCATGAGCACAAAAAAATGCGACTCCAACGGAATCTGAGTTACCAACGACATTCTAACCTTCAATTCCATTCAAAAAAGCTCTGAAGTCTAGGGGTTTGTTATTTTTTTGGGATAATTGGGAGTGAAAATGTCTGGGGCGAAGAAAATCAGTCAGCATGACCTCAGGAAGGCCATGATGGACCACAAGAAGAAAGCGGGAGCTGTGAGGAAGATTGAGTCACCACTGGCAAAATATCCTTTTCATATTTTCAGAGGTTAACGTATCTGTCAAAACTCTCAGAAAATTCATAATCTTTCCCTCAAATATCATTTGGAATCCGCTGAATTCATGAAATTTTGATTTTAATTGCTTTATTTTAATTACTGAGTAATTTCTGAATTTATTACTTATTTTATTTCATCAGAATCATGATTATAAATTTTGTTTGCTTGAGAAATTCATTATTTTTTCATTGAATTTGGGTTTATAATTCTTTTGCTCCATTTTTTCAACAATTTCTTCATTATTTCCATCATATTTATGACTAGAAATTGTAACTGCTTAAGAAATTGATTATTTTTTGCCTCCATCATCACTAAAAATCTATAGAATTAATCCAATTTTAATTTATAAATCTGCTCCTCTCTTTTTTCAATATTTTCAGAATTTATTCTTCATTATTTTCGTCATATTTACGACAAAAAATTAATTTATCAAATAATTTTAGAAATTATTCTATATTATTTCACTAAAATTAACCATCACTAAATTCAATAGAATTAATCAAATTTCAATTCATAATTCTTCTCCATTTTTTCAACAATTTCCGAATGGTTTCTTGATTTATTCTATCATAATTACAATGAAAAATTCCAATTCCCCGAAAGAATTCATGATCTTTCCCCCAATCAATATTTAGAATCAACAGAATTGACTAAATTCCCATTTAGAATCCCATTTCCTTAATTTTCTCAACGAATTTACAATTCATTCCTCATTCTTTCCCCTGACAATCGCCATTAAAAATTCTAATTGCCCAAAAAATTCATGATTTCTTCTTCAATTATCACTCAGAATAAATTCCTCATTTCTTCTATTACAATCCTGACTGAAAATTCTAATTCATAAAAAAATATAATCGTTTCCTCCAATATTTTCAATAATTCTTCAATTTCTCCAAAACCCATTAGTAGTCACCATCAAATAGTGAAATGTACTTCTTTATTTTCCTCAACAATTCCACACGTACACAGAAACTGGCCAGCTAATGTGCCTAATCTGCAAATCCATAATTCGAAGCGAGACAGTCTGGCCAGTCCACCTGAACTCAAAATCCCACAGAGAGAACGTTTCATCCGCAAAAAAAATTCTAGAAACGAAGGAAGTTCCCTCGAACCCTCCGAAAGGTGACAGAACGTTCAAAAGACCCAGTTCCCCGGACAGAGAGTCGGACCCCCCGAAGAAGGTCAAAGGGATCCTCAAGAGTTTCGAGACGTCCTCAGCCCTGCCCCCGGACTTCTTCGACAATCCGAATGGAGTGACTAAAGCCACAGTCGTGTCAGTCACGAAACAGACTGAGGAGTTGGTGATAAAAGCTTCGAGGAGCGTTGGAAGTGCCAGAGGATCTGATGAGCCTAAGGAAGTTAAAGAGCCTGAAACCAGTAATTCTGCTGCTCTGCCAGAGGGATTCTTCGATGATCCAATTTTAGATGCTAAGGTGTGAATATTTTTATTTAATGCCCATTTTCAATCATCAATTTGTCAATTAAATTCCGCAAGAAATATTTGAAAACAATCTGAGAGGATCTGAATGTAGAATTATTTGAGAAAACGGTATAATACCCAAAATTTTGATGACATTTCAATTGATTATAGTACTGTGACATGAAATAATAGAAGAGAATAGAGATAAGAAATGAAAAAAGAGAACCCATTCGAAAGCAAATTGCTAATTCATTAGCAACAATAACTATGCTCATTTATAAAAAAATGAAATTGTCTTGTTTTTTACTTTACAGGTCAGAAATGTGGAGTACAAAGACCCCATTGAGGAGGAATGGGACAAGTTCCAGAAGGAAATGAGGGAAGAAGCTGCCCAATCTGCTCAGATTATCGCTGAGGATCAGGAGGAAGCTACTACTGAGAGGCAACTGGATGAAATTGAGGAGCAGATTCGTAACTGGTCCAGGTAATTTTAATAAAATCATTCAGAAGGGTTTTTCCTACGATTTTCGGTCATTCATTCCATTCTGAATCATTCATTTCTTTAAAAAACTGAAAACGATCATTTTCTAATGGACTAAATCACTTTTAAAGACTAGTTTTGTATTTTAAAAATTTTATTTTGAGAAAAATTTGCGTTTTATTTGTGCAAATTCAGAGTATTGACTTTTTCCTCGTGAAAAAATACGAAAACTATTGCTTTAGAATGGAATTAATGCATCATTTCAACTAATTCGTAATCTCTAAACAATTTTTTAATTAATTTTCTTCAATTCTTGCAGAGTGATGGATTTAGTTAGACGAAAAGAACAAGTCCAAGCAGCTGAAAAGAAGAAGGAATCGGTGGATGAGGACATGTCGAGTGGTGACGAGAGTGATTACGACGAATTCTTAGATTGGCGAGCAAAAACATCGTACAAATAGTCAATGAATAAACTCTCATTCACCCCTCCAGTGTAAGATAATTTTATTAAAATGAATCCAAATAGCAAGACATTACAGATACGTCAAATGTAATAAAGGTATACCATCTTAATGAGTTAATTAAGCTACGATAATTCATATCGAAATGCTATACTTAATAATAAATACTATCAATTACAACTGAATTTAATAACTACGAGAGAAAAATCGGGTACTCTACCGTGAAATATGCCATTTCGTTTTATAAAACATCAGGAATTATGAAAGGATTGTTTTAATTAAATAAGCAGTATTGGCTGCAATTAATGCACCTCCATGACTCTATCTTTCTCCTCTTCACAACCCCACAAAGCATCAACTAATTAATCATTAATTATCATTAGAGTAACGGATTAGACTTTCAACAACTATAAAAGCAGAATAAACTCTTCACTCGATTCGTCTCCTCGAGAAATCATCTCCAAGAAAATTAGTTTAATCAATATTAAAATTGAATGAAATTGTCCTTTGATTTGTTTTTTCATATTCACGACAGAGAGTAGTTCAAACGCTTCCCCAATGCTGGACTACCCCCTCTCCGTGAATTCGTCCCATCCATTATCAAAAAAAAATTCCCAATCGCGTGCTGAAAATGTGACAAATCCCTAGATCACTGAAATACTGAAATCTATCGATTCGTGAAATGTTTTAGTACACGTACGACTTTAAGTGTTTTCTACATATATTTTTCACATTTTTCATTCTTTGAAAGAGTAAAAAAGAGGTAAAAAAGGGAGTGTCACTGACACTCTGCTCTAAGCCAAGGGGATAGAAAGTCCAGCTATTTAATTACTCATAAACTCACCCTAGCATCAACTAAATTACCAATTAGCATTGGTATCTAGACTACGTGTGGTCGATTCCCAGGGTTAAACGGAGACTATTGGCTGAGACCGAAGGGTAATCTTCCCCTAATTTCCCCTCGGTATCAGGCGCATCTCGTTATCGCAATCGTCTCGCTCAATTTTTTTTTTCCACAAGATTTCATCGTGTCGTCTTCAATCAAGTTCTAATTGTGGTTTAAAGATAATTTTAACGTTTTATGATAGCATTGTACAATCACAGAACAGCACAGTCGCTAGGCTTTTTCGTTATTTATTACTCTCAATGATTTTTTTAGCAGTTTTATCCCTTTAATTTTTCTCTTGAAGTATTAATACTTTTTTAATCTCAATTAATTCAGAGACAATCCTCAGCTGAAAGCATCGTTTTTCATTTAAGATCTCTTTATACTCGTATTTTAATTTTTAATCGTTAATGATTATTTATGCGACAGCATAGGCACTAAATTTGCAGAGTTTCATGAATTATTTATCTACGATTAGTCGTGTATACTGTATTATAATTTTATCGTCCATTCGACAAAATTCTCTACCTCAATTTAATCTAGATACTTTGATAGATTTTCTGCTGATTCAGGTAGTTTCATAGTTTTAGTTATAAATAAGAGGACTTTAGTTGTGATTATCTCCTATTATATCTCCGTAATTTATTAATCGTGATTATTTTTATAGCGAAGGGAGCATTCGTGGTCTAATTAATCTAGCTACTTGTGCAAATTTGATTACGTGATAATTATCAAGGTAAAGAGATGTATCAAGTGGCTTTCAAGAGAATTTTCAACTCCTCATTCTGCATTTTCAGTGATTCGAAACTGCTTCGTGTGGTCCCATTCACATGTTTCTTATTTTTTCATTTTTCAATTGCATAATCACTTCATTTCACACGTGAAGTTACGAATCTCAACAGCTGATTGTTTATTCTAATACTTTGGTTTAGAAGTTTAAACTTATTTCGAGAAAGTTATCTGAAATGTTCATTAGAACATTTTTTTGATGATTAATTTGGTGGAAAAATGAACGGATTCGCAATTTATGGAGAGAACTGCGTAAATTTCCAACAAAAATTTTTAAAATTTTTCTCCTGAAACGACTTTTTCTGAAAATATTTCGATATTTAAAAAAAAAATGATTGATCTGTTACGTTTCACTAATTATCATGAAATGTTGTAGAATTCTGCGTAATAACTCGTCTCTGGACCCTAGTGGAGCCCCAATAAATCCACCCAACACAGTGGGATTCCCCTATTTTCAAAAATGTGCGTCGGAAAATGGATTGATTTACGCTTTAGCTTCAGTTATTTCCACAGTAATATTCTCGTGAACAGTATCAGCAAGACCAGTTGTGTTATTCGGTGGTGACTTGTTTGGCCTCGTGCCAGGTGCTGATACAGCTGATGTATTGCCACTGCTGCCACGACTTCCACGACGTGAACCTGTACGAGACCCTGGCAATCAGACATCTATTCATTCCAGACGATCATAGGGGCACTCGTTTAATTATTCATTGTCAATAGGTCTATCTACTGCTAGACTGTACACAAAATAAAGAAACAAATGAATATTAAGAAATAAATTTGTGAAATAAATGATTACTAAATTTAATATAATTGCTATTACTCATTGGACACGAGTTTCAACAGGCAAATCATTTACTTTAGCAAGCAACTATTTTTTTAATCACGTTTCAAATTCACGCGAATGTCTGTCATTCAACTAGAAGAGTACAATCAGCTAATTATCATGGTTGTGATAGGCATCATTTTTATGTACATAGAAGAGAGTGGTGGGTCTGCTCATTGAGGAAGTGATGAAACGACGGCTTTGATCGGACTTCAATTCGGTTTTTTGTTTTATGAAACATCAAGAATGAAGAAAAGAATGATTTAATCAAATAAGCTGTATTAATTAAATCAATTGCTGCAATTGATGCAATCATTGATTATCATTAGAGTAACGGATTAGACTTTCAACAACTGTGAAAGCAGAATAAACTCTTCTCTGGAAAACTCTGGAAAAATTAATCAAAAAATTTGTAAATTGAAATATTGTTATTTGCTGTTGGGTGAATGTTAAGAAAAAATGAATTTGATAGAGAAAAAAATTGATGCAATAGTTTGTTAAATAATAATTCTTTTCAGTAAAATATGAAAATGTTTTTTCTCGAAAGATATTAACGTTTTGTTATTGATGACATGAGGCGCCAAAAAATCGACGCCAAAAAACTCCTGTTCCGCATTTCATCACTTCACGATGAACGACTGTGCGACCTAGTGACGAAGAAAAATGTATGTCTAAGCTTTCTCCATACTTTACCCCAATGCTCTTTCTCCCCATGACAGAAAAATCGAAGAGTAAGTTTAACCAGATAAATGACTCGACTATCACCAATAACCACATGCGACAATATTCCTTCACGTATGACTATTCAAACAGAAACTTTACTCATTTCGTCGAACAGTATATCCTCGAGTTAGGGAGAGAAACAAGATCACAGGACTATCTACAAAGTTCTGATGAAACAGTAACAAATACCACAATATCTCAGTTGCTCTAATAAAAAAAATCATCGTTTCAAGGATCATGAGCAAGGAGAATGAGTTATCAAAGGGATGAGAGTGATTCTCCTCCCTTCGATCATCGTTTCTCCTGCGGCTGCCCCTCAAACTCCTTTAAAAAAAATTCTTCAATGTCAAATAAATACTGAAGTTGCTTGCTTAGTAATTGAATTGATAAAAACCCGTACTGTTGACTCGCTGGGGATTTTTCGCACCTTGCTGCGAGCCGTTGGGCGAGTGGGCTCGGAGGGATGCCATCGAGGGCTGACGGGATGGACCCCGTTGACTTGCTCGCGAGCCTCGTCTCTCCTGGGCATGCAGCAGCTTGTTGTTGTCACGAAGAAGGGATACATTCATCAAACGGGCGTTCGGGGTGTTGAAGATTGTTCGGTTCTCACGCCAACGGGCCCTGGGAGTCATTAATTTAGGTGGAATTAAGGGGGAAAATTTATTGAGAGAAATGAAACGAAAAAAAATTGTGGGAAAAAAAGTATAACAATGTCAAATAAGGGATTTTAACCCTCTTGACCCTTGTAACCTTGGTGGACCCTGAGGCCCTTATGGCCCTTACGACCTTAAAGGGCCCAAGGGCCCACAGGATCACGAAGGTCCCCTCCTTGTAACATCAAATAGACTTAGAACAATGTTAAATAAGGGATTTTGACTCTTGTAAGCTTGGTGGCCCCTGCGGCCCTTATGGCCCTTATGACCTTATGGCCCTTATGACCTCAAGGGTCGCAGGGTCTCAAAAGTCGCCGACGTTACCCCTCCTTGTAACATCGCATAGACTTATAACAATGTCAAATAAGGGATTTTAGCCCTTGTAACCTTGGTGGAGCCTCAGACCCTTATGACCAAAAAGGCCCAAGGGTCCGCAGGGTCACAAAGGTCCCCTCCGTTACCCCTGCTTGTAACATCGCATAGATTTATAACAATGTCAAGTAAGGGATTTTGACCCTTGTAAGCTTGATTGCCGCTGCGACCCTTATGGCCCTTATGACCTTATGGCCCTTATGACCTCAAGGCCCAAGGGTCCGCAGGGTCACAAAGGTCCCCGCTGTTACGCCCCCTTGTAACATCGAATAGACTTATAACAATGTCAAATAAGGGATTTTAGCCCTGGTAACCTTGGTGGAGCCTCAGACCCTTATGACCAAAAAGGCCCAAGGGTCCGCAGGGTCACAAAGGTCCCCTCCGTTACCCCTCCTTGTAACATCGCATAGACTTATAACAATGTCAAATAAAGGATTTTGACCCTTGTAAGCTTGATGGTCGCTGCGACCCTTATGGCCCTTATGACCTTATGCCCCTTATGACCTCAAGGCCCAAGGGTCCGCAGGGTCACAAAGGTCCCCACTGTTACGCCTCCTTGTAACATCGCATAGACTTATAATAATGTCAAATAAGGGATTTTGACCCTTGTAAGCTTGATGGCCGCTGCGACCCTTATGGCCCTTATGACCTCAAGGCCCAAGGGTCCGCAGGGTCACAAAGGTTACCCCCACTGTTACGCCTCCTTGTAACATCGCATAAATTTATAACAATGTCAAATAAGGAATTTTGACCCTTCTAACCTCGGTGGACCCTGCGACCCTTATAGCCCTTATGACCCTGAAAGTCCCAAGGGTCACGAGGCCCCAAGGGTCTGCAGGGCCACAAAGGTCCCCTCCGTTACTCCTCCTTGTAACAATCATTTAAGTAAATCATTCACGTCACACTTCAGTCAAAAATAAAAAAATTAAATAATAATAATGATAATATCGACGATTAATGTAATAATAACCCACTTGCTAAAAAGTCGAAGGACAACGCAGATGATGACGAACATCAGTGCCATTGCAACCAGAATACCGATCATAGCTGGATCCACATACCGAAGGTTTTCCTCTTCCTTCACTTCAGCTACTCAAGGCCAAGACAATTATACCAACGCATTATGAAGATTATTTCAAGACTGAAAAAAAAATTATTTACCCAGACATTCGATGATTCCGTTGGGCTGCATTACGGGAATCTTCTGGAAGATGCAGATGCATCTTCCATCCCTGCATTCTGTCTGCGGTACCTTGAGTTCACATTGTTCAGTGAAGAAACATGATTCGTTGACATTGACAGCTGTCAAAAAATTGAATATTGATAAATGGATTTTTCTCAATTAAATTTTTCTCGGTTTTCCGTGATTTTTTTTTATTGAATGCATGTCTTCTACTAGGCGACATTTCAACAATTAACTAATTTGACTCAATATAATATTTGACTCAATAATTTGAATTAACTAATTTGAATCAATATATCACAAATAAATGATATTCATAGCAAATTTATGCCGAAATTTCTTCAAACGTCAACGATCAAACAGAATATTTGTTTACAAATTAAAATAGAGATCGTGACGAAAGACTTGAATGAATAGTCAATCGCAAAAATCACTCTTTTTCTCTTTTTCACTGACTTATGCGGAATTTTTAATCATCAATCATTAAGTGATTTTCATTGATGTTTCTATTGAGTTATTAATTGGAACAATAATTGTTTTTTTCTGCACGATTTTCTGACTTGGGCGTCCAAACAATAATCGAAATATAGTAATAAAATTTCAGTAAACAGAAAATTCAATTTTATAATTGAACTAAAAATAGGTCTTTATATCACATTAATTATTCATGCGTCGGCTCAACTGTTAAATTGAGTTGGATTACGTTGTCTAGTAGAAAACAAACAAAAAAATGAAAATAAAAATTGAGAAATTTTGGCTAATTACTGAAAATGCAATAATTTAAATTAAATGAGTTGAAACATCGCAGTTGAAGAGTCGCCCGGGTGAAAAGATGATTTTTTTACTCAAAAAAATCATGTGAGGGATATTCAACTCACGATGTCCGCATTTATCGATGTGATTAGTAGCGCTGAACTCCTCTCGGCAGAAGCACTTCCGGTTCCTCGGATCGCAGAAGGAACCGGCGAATCCGCACTCCCGATCCTCCCTGCACTCATCCCCAAATTTCTTCGATCCGCGTCCGGTCATATCTGGGGACATCGGAACACGCGTTTAGAATCGATGCGGAATGCACTGCAGTGGAATATTAAATTCTTGGAGATCTCATTTGAACGAGATACGCGATCAGAAAGCATTGAAGGAGCATCCGGTATTCTGTGTGTGAATTTAATAAGGAATTCCGAATTTTTTTCTACAGAAAAAAAAAGATTCGATGGACAACAATTTTTCAATATCAGAGATTCTTGAAATACGACTGCTATGAAATAAGAATTTGAAAAAAGAGAACCCATTCGCAAGTAAATTGCAAATGTATTAGCAACAATAACAACTAAATTAATAGTTTAATAGTTAAACCCATTCATAAAAAATGCAATAATCCACTTGTTTAAAATAGAGATGAGGGAAAAAATTCATTAGAAAGATTTTTCTCCGTCCAATTAAGAAAAATCTTAATTCACTTGATTTAAATTCGTCTCGAGATGCGGAAAGCCCTCTCCATTGAGATCATCATGAATTCTTCAACCCAGTAACCCGAGTCAAAAGGCGAGGTGAGAGAATGCGAGAACCTCATCAGCCGGATTCCAAAGTCGAACATGATCAGGAAGTGGGAGGTACCGGCGCCCCTGGGGACTCGCTGTGATCCACATAAGCCCACATAGTCGACGGAGAATAGATCAGAGGGGTTGGGGTGAGAGCTTTTCAGCCCCGAGAGTTTTTAACCTTTTGCATATAGGGTGGTGGCCACTGCAACTTTGAACAATCTCTGTTTGCCTTTACCTTGAGGACCCAGGCGTGTGGATTCTCCAGTGCTCGGGGCTTTTGAATACACCATGAAGTCTTGTCATTCACAAAAAGAAGGGGTATTTTCATTGAGGAAGCGGTAGTGACCGACGAAAGCCACAAAAACGAGGAATTTCATTCGATTTTTCTTCATCTTTTTAACTGTTCAGTTATCTCGGTAATGAGTGATTTTAGAGAAAAACTTCATATAACCTTTTTTACGCAGAATTTCATAAGTTCCAAAAAAGGTTTTAACATAAATTTCGCTATCTACCATAGATTCCGAGATATTTCTCAAAAACCAATTGCAAATCGATTGCTCTATTTTCTCAGTTCCATAGATTTTTGAAACCAAAGCATCTAAACAACGACTGATTTTAGCAAAAAATTCCACAAAATGTTTTTTATCCGAAATTTGATAAGCTTCAAAAAACTTTTTGACAAAAAAATCGCTATCTCCCATAGACTCACAGATATTCGGCAAAAACAAACTGGAAATCGATCGCTCTACTTTCACAATTCCATAAATACCCAGTCATAAAGCCCCGAAAAGCTTCTCTCATGTTTCCTATAAGTCGATTCCGCTGTTGCAGTCACAATTGAGGCATGAAACAACCTGAGGATTACCCACCGGCGGTGGAGGGGGGGAGGGGGGTCCCCACGGGGATGCGGATCCATTGGTTTCCGGGGGGATCGAAGCTTTCAGGAAGTAATCGATGAAGCCTACACCCAATGGATTAACGCCTATACCGAGGACAGGATGAATCAGCCTCATGAAGAGGGCAATGAGAATCAACTACTAACTGACAGCATTACTATATCACCAATGACCCAGTTACATCCTGCGGGGAGAATTCACCAGGTGTGATCGTATTTCATCTTCTTGCCATTACCATGAAATCGAATCATCCTGTCTGAACGATTCTCCCTGTCCTTATCTGTCTCTCAGGAAAATCGCTGAGTCAGAGTAAATATGTTTTTCCATTAGCGTAAAGGTTTATCTCCGTTCAGACGGATTATGGTGATGCTGGGAGAGAACATTACGAATGAGATATTTCAGGGGTGATATGAAATATTAGAATGATGGGACATAACCTAACACAATAGAACAACTCAATTTTTTAGATGTGAGGAATTATTCTTCCGGAAAATTATTACATCAAAATTGTTCCGATCACGAGAATGTGATAGCGCTAGTTGAGATTGATCTGATGAGAATGAATAATTTTGAAACATGTTCAAAAATATGAGGTGGTCGACAGATCTAGATGGCGCCATCTTGCAACTCCCTGAGACAATATGGCCGCGCCCTCTGCACCACCTCGCATTTTTAAACAGATATTAAAACTACTTATCCTCTTCAAATGATGCTGAAATTTTTAAATTATACTCGCCTGATGGGAAGAATTCTGATGCAACAATTTTTTTTTCATTTGGAAATCCATTATTTTGATGACCAGTGAAATCCGGCAGTTTGAAATTTTCATCGACCCCATTACCACATTGTCGATCATTTATGATAATCACCCCAGGCAGACGCACTGCTTAATCCTCGAAATGCATTCGGTGAAGCCGGAAATCACGCGGAAGGGGCTGGGTGGCACCAAATGCGGACAAAAGCCGTCCACCCCTAACCTCCTCGCCATTTGAACACATGAATTACGCAATAACGACGTGATGCCAGAGGACAACAGAGCGTGTATTGCATCGGAATGATTGGATGTGCAGAGGCATCGAAGAGCCCCAGGGTCAATCCCTGAAAAGTGGGTCGTTCCAGCAGGATGGCAGACTGCCAGTTATCCTCCAAAGCCTTTCCAGCCTCCAGCAAAAAGCCACCACTCGCTTCACCTGTGAACCCTCCCACGTTCCTCCCATCCTTTCTCCTCACTTTCCGTTTTTCAACTACAAAATCAACGGAATGCCTGCCAACATTGGGCCGATGCTGAAAAGTTTCATCGAGGTCTTGGGAATACAATAATGAAACTTTGCTGACTATCAAAATATATGCGGGGAAAATGGATCTGAGGTAGGGAATTGTTTACTTTGGAACTTCTACTTTTGTCATAAAGTAACTTAACATATTTTTCAGGGAAAAATCCGAGTTGAGGTGCCACTGGGGCTTCCATTGAATTCTTTAATGGCGTATTCTTTGTCCAGACGGGACAATACACCTCTTCTCATTCTAGTTTTCTTTTGTGGAAATTCAAGATAAAGAATTCAGTTGTGAAGTGGGGAAATGAGAGGAGTCGATTCCACTCAGACTTCAGTTTTTCGCGAATATCTCGGTATTGAATTTATTTTTCTCTGAGGAAAAAGTATTCGGCAAAATTTTGTCATCTCCCTTAGATGGAAAAAAATTTATAAAGAACTAAATGTCGAGGTGAGTCGATTTATGAATCAATTAATTCTTCATTTCAATTTCATAAAATGATTGGTTGAGCCTTTTTCCAGGATTTTCTATGAGGCAAAGCGAACTGAGCAAGCGGAACGGAGACATTATGAGGATTTATCTGCCAAATGCATTTTATAAATGAATTTTTTCTGTGCCCGCTGTAAAATGTAGATTGTAATGGATGTAATGGCGTGGGGAGGGAATTAAAATGAAGCAAATGAGAAATTATAAAGAGTGCCCACAAAGGAAGGCTCAGCCCCTACTAGCAACTCCCGATTGGCATCGTTGACGTCGCGACCCCACTCGTCACGCGATGTCATTATGTGTTTTATACAAGTCACCATCGGGCAGGAACTGGACATTAGGAGATTACGAGAGGCTTCGTGAGCACCAGAGATACGGAAGGGCGGGTCTATCATTTTTAGTTGGAAAACTGCGAACTTGTTATTGGAAAAAAAGTTTGGAGAATTACTCCCAGAGGGGCTGCTGAGTTATTTCCATGTTTTTAAAGTTCTTCAAGTGTTGATGGGTCTCTGGGGTCTGTTTTATGGCCACTCGTAAAGCATGAATAATTACGAGAGACTTTAGGAGAATTTTCAGGCGTAAAAATGTACATTTTAAATATTTTGTAATTGTTATGAATGGTTTTTGTACATTAATAAATTTGATTAAATTGACTGATCAATTGAATTCTGGAAAAAAAAATTATTTTCGATCAGTTTCGATAGAGAAAATCAGAGAGAAATGCCAAACCCAAGTGGGATTTGAACTCACAACCTTCAGATTACAAGGCTGATGCCCTTACCAACAGAGCTAACTTACGCTCTACCAATCGTTCGATATTCAAAGGCCTTTAAAAATTGAGTGATTTATTTTTCATGCAAAAAATTAATTCATCAATCGGTTGAATGATTTTTTCAGTTGAAAAATATAATTATTCATTGCGAGTGAATACGGAAGTGCTAGACATGTCAAAGTGCAGATGCCCCAGGGGGGATTTGACCCCACAACCTTCAAATTACCAAACAAGCATTCACAAATTCCGCTACCATCGCTTCCCACCCATCTGTCTTTCTAAATTCATTGGAACGAAAATATTCATTCGAAGCAATCAAAACCGCTCCCCAACAGCCCATGAAAGACAATTTCAATGCATCTGATGCTGAGCAGATCCTCATAACTAAGTGAGACGAGTGCTCTCAGCTGACAGTCGACGAAACCTCACATTTCCCTTGAGAAATACATCCAGATCTCCCGCGAATTCCTGGCTTCATTCATTATTCATTGACACAGTGACTGAATAAACCCACAATGTGTGGAAACAACAAGTAGCTCAGAATCTGCATTTTTCAAAGAGCCTTCCATTGAAATTGGAACAAAGTATTTTCTACAAACGAAAGAATAATTCATCAGTTTTTCAACAACTGCCGGTGCAACACGTCGACCCTAAAGGTTTATACTCCCTTGAATGGAGAGCGTAATTATAACTATATACCCTGGAAAAAGTTTCCAACAGCTGATCAGACGGTTCTATCAGTAATTTATTATTCATCATCTTACGAACAAGTCCATTCGCTCCTATTAAGGGCCTAGATCCATTTCATGCGATCATTAATAACTATTTCATAAAATCCAAGGGATACTCCTCGCTGTTCCAGTCATTTACATCTCCCAATCGAACCCACCCCAGCAATATACCCCATTCTCTCGTAATTGAATTTATGAACAGCCGTAAATCAACGTGTTTATAGTTTTACACGGATATTAACTGCTGCCCGGGGCGTAATTTAATTTCTAATTTCCTCAATTACGGAATCTGACAGCCATTGAACCGGACACCGTCAGGTGGAAGGTTTTAATTTATGCAACTATTTTCCCTTTGCTCAGGGGCATTATCATAAATGAGTTCATCTCATTGGAATATTTTTCATTAGAGTTTTTATGAATGGGGCAAACTGGAAAGATTGCCAATTTTCTGACCCTTCGTGATTTTTAAGTAACAAATGTTTGAAAAAAAAAATGTTTTCGACAGTTCCACTTTGCCCCTTCAGTCCACTTTACCCCAATCTCCCCTAGTTTGTTCTTAATTCCGACTGCTCACGTGTATCTCAACCCCAAGAATAGAAACAAGATAATGACAGTAATAATTCCGCAGAGTCAAACGACCCAAAATGAAATAACACATATCTGCATTGCAGACTTGAGTGGGAGACTAGCGACGGCACATTTTCAGCCACCAAGAGCCTTGAAACTTTGCAGAGATCTGAAAATGATGCATTGCACCCTTAATTGCATGGCAGTTTCTTGTTCCAAGGATAAGGAAGGTTCTCTTTTAATCCCTCAAAGTTTTTTACCCAAATCCTTTTTCTCTTTTTCGTGTTTCTCGTTTGCCACTGCGACGTTTTGTGGACTAGGGGGATGAGTGAATCCCTCGGGACATGTATTTGAGCCTTTTAATCCAGGGGAAATTTTAGCCCCTTCGGGTTTATGGGGAACAATACTGAGGGTCTTTTGGTTCAAAGGACTCTTTGTGATATTCGTCAGACTGTCTGACCAGTGTTGATCCATCTCACTTGACTTCATCCGTCCGTTCCAATTCACTAATTCAGTGACTTTGTCGTGTCGTATTTCGAGGAGGAAAAAGTGGAATGACAGGTAGGAAAAATTCTGATAATTTTTTTTTTCATTATTTGCTCGACAAAAATTTTTTAGGGTCAAACAGTCTTGAGGGTCAAACGGGAGAGACAGGTGGAGGGTCAAATGGGAGAGACGAGTGGAGTGATCACTTCGCTCGTCCTTTCCGTTTGACCCTCTTGACCCCTCCGTCTCTCCCATTTGACCCTCAAGAAATTTTGACTCTTCTGATTACTTGACGCGTCTCTCCCGTTAATACTTGAATAACGAAATTGGAGTTCAATTCGGAGAACGTTCTTCCCCATCTCTATTGCTCAATAAAGTAATGAAGGGTCAAATATTCTCGAGGGTCAAACGGAAGCGACAAGTGGAGAATCAAATGTAAGGGTTAAACGGGAGAGATGAGCAGAGAAATCGGAAGGGTCAAATGGGAGAGACGAGTGGAGTGATCATTTCGTTCGTCTCTCCCGTTTGACCCTCTTGACCCCTCCGTCTCTCCCATTTGACCCTCAAGAAATTTTGATTCTTCCGATTACTACGTTCGTCTCTTCCGTTTAACCCTGAAACAACGAAGTTGGACTACAATCCAGAGAACTTTCCTTTCCATCTCTATCACTAGAAAAAATGAGGAAGGGTCGAATGGTCTTGAGGGGCAAACGGGAGAGACAGTTGAAGGGTCAAATATTCTTAAGGGTTAAACGGGAGAGACCAGCAGAGTAATCAGAAGGGTTAAACGTTCTCAAGGGTCAAATGGGAGAGACGAGTGGAGTGATCACTTCGCTGGTCTCTCCCATTTGACCCTCAGGAAATTTTGATTATTCTTATTACTTCGTTCGTCTCTTCCATTTGACCCTTGAACAACGAAGTTGGAGTACAGTCCAGAGAATTCTTTTCCATCTCTATTACTAAAAAAAAATGATGAAGGGTCAAATGGTCTTGAGGGTCAAACGGGAGAGGCAGTTCATCTACTAGTCTCACCCGTTTGACCCTCAAAAAATTTTACTACTTCTGATCACTTCATTCATCTCTCCCGCTTGACCCTCACCACTCTTTGACTCTTAAACAACAAAATTCACTGCCCTTCCACTTTGCCCCTATTATCTTCATAAATACTGGGGCAACACGGGTCGTCTCATTAAAATGCAAATAAAATGTTAATGAAAAAAGAAATTATTGGATAAATACCGTCAATAAGTTTCCGAGCGATAATCAGAGTGAATATCATCGCAGTCATGCACGATAAATTCCCCGAACAGGCGAATTTTTTTTTTTTCACAGCCATTGAGGGATCCCTTGACGCGCACTAATTCGGGGTTTCATTGTCAGAGAAATTGGGGGCTCAGGTACTGCGTCGCAATTTGCGAGTGCATCGATATCTTGACACAATCGTCTCAACATTGGAGTTATAATGGCGGTCTGATTTTCAAGGGGTTTATACTACTGCTATCGACCCCGCTTGTACACAACAGGTCACAGGGTAATGCAACGACACTTCGATCGTCTAACGTTTGTTCCATATGACGGGTTGGCTTGTGCCTGGGCACATGGGAAATCCTGACGACAACAAAGGAAAACAAGTTCAGTGAGTAAAGAACAATAACAAGAACAGAATTAAACTTGTAATTGGAAAAAGTGGAAAAATTGTGAATAAATCATTCAGAAATTATTGAATTCATGAATAAAAGAGGAGACTCTCGAGAATAAAAAAATATAGATTTTTTTACAAAAAAAAAACATCAAAACTTATAGTTTGAAAAAAATGAAGGAAAAAATTTAATAAATAATTCATAAATTATTGAATTCATGAATAAAAGAGGAGATTCTCGAGAATAAAAAAATATAGATTTTTTTACAAAAAAAAACCTCAAAACTTATAGTTTGAAAAAAATGAAGGAAAAAATTTAATAAATAATTCATAAATTATTGAATTTATGAATAAAAGAGGAGATTCTCGAGAATAAAAAAATATAGATTTTTTTACAAAAAAAAACATCAAAACTTATAGTTTGAAAAAAATGAAGGAAAAAATTTAATAAATAATTCATAAATTATTGAATTCATGAATAAAAGAGGAGACTCTCGAAAAAAAAAGATGGAATTTTTTTACAAAAAAACTGGTGAACATCGATTGAACATGCGGCACAAAGGGGTGCGAGGACCCGGAAAAATCGAATTCACCCGATTTCAATGTTGAAATACATCGTCGGGGTGCCACATGCTCGCGTGATTGCATCATTTTGCGGAATTGAAAAAGAAATGGTGAGAGTGAAAAAAAAAAATCGTCGGTGTACGTCATTCAATGGCTATTCCGCGTCACAACCTGCTGCACGTTATCTCCATATTTTCTCAATATTCTTTGTTTCGCGTTAAGGGAGAGACAGAAGTTGGCAAAAATACTGGTGAGTCGATACTAATGCTTAGGGCATTTGGCATAGGGCCACTGCGGATAGGTCGCCAGGGGCATTTCCTTCTCAACCCTCATGCGTCTGACTGTAATTTTTTTAAACTACTTTTTCAGGCAGCGGCTAATTGAAACGGAGTTTGCAGTGACTCGGTCCTGGAAATCCAATTAAAAGGACTCGCGATTCTGGGCTCTTTATCAGGGGTTAATTCTGGTAATGAAGTTTGAGAGTTTGAGATGAAGAGATTCAGTCCTTTCATAGAATTTTCGCTTTTGCTCATCCGTTATTCATCTTTCACGCAATGACGACTGTATTTTCTTCAATATCTCGGGATCTAATGGAGATAGAAAACTTTTTGTGGAGACTTTTTTGTAAATAATTTCAAGAGCTACAAAAAAGGTCATAACGAAAATTTTGATATCTCCTTCGGATTCCGAGATATTCGACGAAAACTGAATGGTTTTTATAGAGAAAATCTTACCCTCCATTGTTGTGAATTCTGGGGGGTCCGGGTCCCCTCGGGCCGGCATTCCGAGGACAAGCCATGATCCCAAAATCAGTAAAAATAGCCGAATAATTCTCGATGATCCTCCCAACGCTTTGTGCATTATCCTAATCCTTGCCACGGACACACAGGCCCGTCGCTTCACTCCTTATCATATTACATTATTTCTATCCCGAATTACCCACCCATTGGGACTCATTAATTCACGATATAATCCCTCTCTCGAACAATCACTGTTACAACACACCCGCGAACTCACTGAATTCTACAAAAATTCTTTTCCCCGCGAAAAAGAAATATATCTTTTTCTTTTGTGCTTATTGTGTTGTACTCCTTCCTTTGTTTGGACGCTGCTGAGAATGCGTCACGGCCGACAGACAGCCGACGAGCAACGGCGTCGAGGTGGCTCGGGGTTTATCGGGGGCCGCGGCTCAGAGTCGCGACCCCAGGGCGCCGGCGCGACCCCACATTATGAGAATCCCCCCTCCCCCCCATGCCGCCCCCAACCCCTGCATGGAGGCAGGAGTTCACCCCACGTAGTCCATAGCCGGTGGGATCGTGCATCAGCATGACTCCAGTCAAGCCCTAGTTGACGGAGAAAAAACCCGGCGTCTCAATTCTATGTCGAACAGCGTTTCATGTTTTTGTGACGCATGACCCCGTGGATTTACTTTTGCCGAGGGTCTGGTCTTGACTGAAGACAATTCTTCAGTTCTTTGGTTGTCTCCGTTATGTTACGCGTTTCCCTTTTCGTTACGCTCGAATGGAGTTGCATCACTTTGTCTAGTCTCACGGCGTACTCTCGCGTCCCTCTGTGACGTGAGAGTAGACGAATAATAAGTTTCACTTTTCGTAAAGCTCAATATGGAGTTGGTTTACTTTGTCTAGGCTCACGGCGTACACTCACGCCCTTTGGGACGTGGCAGTAGACGAATGTTTCACTTTTCGTAACGCGAGAAGTGAATGGAGCCTGTGTACTTTGTCTAGTCTCACGGCACGCAGGCGGAGTCAACCCGTTAGAGAACTATGACGAACGATTTGGTATCTCAATATCGCGTCGGGTGTCTTCGCTATCTGTTACGCGTTTTACTTTTTGTGACGCTCGAATAGAGTTGATTCACTTTGTCTAGTCTCACGGCGTGCCCTCGCGCACCTTCGAGCCATGAGAATAAACGAGTGTTGAATGACTCAGGGTTGCCAGATTTTGGCGATTTATAGCCAAAACCTGTACAATTTTAAATGGAGTGACGTCACGATCTGGTAACACTGTTGAATGTTCGACTTGTCGGAACGCTTAAATGGAATGGGTTGTCTTTGTCTAGGCTCACGGCGCACCTCTGTGACGTGGGAATAGACGAATGTTAAACGTTTCACTTTTCGTAACGCTTGAATCGAGTTGGTTTACTTTGTCTAGTGCCACGGCGCACTTGCGCGCCTTTCTGACGTGAGAATAGACAAATATTAAGCGTTTCACTTTTTCCTAACGCTCAAATAAAGTTGATTTATTTCCATCAATTGTCAATCGTTTTCATCTTTTCAACATTTCCATCTTTCGTAACATCTTCCTCAACGTTCCCTGTTTTAATTTCAGCAAAGACCAATTGACCTTTGGACCTTTCTGATAAACAACTTGCCATCACTCCGGAGACGCCACTATATTAATAAATATCCTTATCAGTAAATATATCCTGCAAATTCCGCTGAATCCACTGTATCATAAATTTTTTTTTATAAATAAAAAACAAGCGCGCGATGAACGAGAAATCCTATTTTCATCTCTTGAAAATCGATTCGCTGTGCGTCAGAATGTCATCTCAGGAGATCAGCGAGACATCATATTACCCTTACATTATCAGGTGTAATGAAAAATATTCTCGCGAGATGGATTAACTCCACTTCGCGATTTCTGATTTTTATGAAAATACACACGCTACGACAATTATCTCGACTACGCGTCACACGTGGCGTTGGCCCACTTTTACTCAGTTGAAAAACCCTTACGTAATGCTGTAACATGCGCGTAATACTCTAGTGAGTTCTTACTTCTATTAATATAAGGAGATCCTGAGATGTTTGATGGTAATGGGGGAATTGAAGAGAACGTCACGTTTACCTTGTTTGTCATTTTATTACGTACATAACTTTGGATTTATCGGTGGTTAACCGAACGAATATTTATGGATAAAAATACGGTTTTTATTATTTTTACTTTGAGAATCCATTTATCTGTCCACTGGCTTCTTCCACTGGGCTAATTGCAGGTGTAACCTTTTGATCGGGGTGTGGCTGACTGCTGACTTCCCTTTTCTCTCATGCCTGAAGAAATCATCGGGGAGATTTTCAGTTTAATGGACTGGTGAAAGGGAATTTCTTAATAATTTCAGTGGATGGAAGAGAGCGAAATAATAACGCGAAAGTTCAGACGAAATTATCTCGATGGGGAGGGGTTTTAGACGAAAACTTTACGGGAACTTTTTGTTGGAAATTTCGTATGCCACAAAAAAGTTCCTATAAAATCTTTTTCTAAAATTAATAGTTTCTGAGATAAATGCGAATTAGCGGAAGCAACAAATGATGAGTGAATTGATGAAATGTCACAAATTCAGGTTTGTTAAATACGAGATTATCTCCATAAGGAGTGGTTTTAGACGAAAACTTTATGAGAACTTTTCGTTGAAAATTTTATCCACTACAAAAAAGTTCTTATGAAATTTTCTCCTACACTCAACCGTTTCCGAGATAAATGCAAACAAGTAAAACAAAAATTTGAATATTCACGTTTCGCTTCGCCACGAAAAAGTTAAATATTTTTTTATCTTACCTCAGTCATTTTGACATCACTGAGAGACAAGATCAGCCCAGAATATATCGTACTCCTTCAGCATACTTCCACTGAAATAAAAAACGATCGATCACTGCCGAAGAACTTAAACCTTCATTACGAAATATTTTCTGCAAAGAAGGCAACCGGTTCCCCTCATTCGTAATCGAATGAACAAGGTCTTTCAACTCGCACTAATATTCAAACATTTCTCAAACGTAAGAATTGTTTCGTCATTACTACTCTGAGTTATGGTAATGAGCGACACGCGACATTTCTCTGGAAACAAATCCGAGGTATTGAATCGAAGGAAGGCAAAAGGTCGAGGAAAACCACCTCTCACTGATAAAATTTCTAGATAAATACATGTTTTTATTTCTAATTTCGATAGTTGTTAACACGCGAGTGTTCAACGACACTTACGTGAAGTATACTTGACCCTGGCCAGTGGTTGGCGCATTCCAAATGAGGGCTGCCTCCTCCTTTTCTTTGGGATCAGCGTGGGTTACTGCGCTGCATTCATCGTGAACTTTTGTGTTCGGGGTGTGGGCAAATGTTCCTATCCAATTGTGGGTCTTTGAGTCCCTCGCTTGGATGAAGAAACCCTTGAAGTAACTACCTCCGCGGAGGGTCACTAACGAAAATCATAGAATGTATTATTCCAGAGCTAATGGTTTTTGTCTCTCCCATTTGGCCCTTGAGAACGTCTGACCCTTCTGATTACTCTCCCCGTTTCTGCTGTTTAACCCTTATGAATATTTGAACCTCCACCTGTCTCTCCCGTTTGACCTTCAAGACTGTTTGACCCGAGAACATTTGACCCTTCGTCGCTTGTTTAAGGGTCAAACGGGAGAGCGGAACCAATTGGTGACTTCACTAGTCTCTCCCATTTGACCCTTGAGAAAGTTTAACCTTTCTGATTACTCTGCTCGTCTCTCCCGTTTAACCCTTAAGAATATTTGACCCTCCACCTGTCTCTCCCGTTTGACCTTCAAGACTGTTTGACCCGAGAACATTTGACCCTTCATTATTTGTTTAAGGGTCAAACGGGGGAGCCGAACAAAATGATCAGAAGAATCAAAATTTCTTGAGGGTCAAATGGGAGGGACAGGGGGAGGGGTCAAGAAGGTCGAACGGGAGAGGCGAGAGCAGTGCCGACTCCACTAGTCTCTCCCATTTGACCCTTGAGAACGTTTGACCTTTCTGGTTATTCTGTCCGCCGCTTCCGTATCAACCCTTAACAATATTTGACCCCCAACCGTCTCTCCCATTTGACCCCTCATCATTTTTCGCAGTAATAGAGATGAAGAAAAAAGTTATCTGAATTTTTCTCTACATTCGCTTTTTGCTACCACTCCACTTTACCCGATTCTCTCCCTTTAAAAACTTTGGTATTGAAAAAAATTAATGTCAAAAGTTTCCAAGACACTTTCAAAACTCAAAAACCCCCACAAATCATCAACGAAGGTCACAGCCTCCAAAACCCCCGATAAATAACTTTCAACTAAATTCTGTCATGTCTCCAACGATTCCATCATTATTACCCAAAAATAAACCTGAAATGTCAGACGCATAATCATCCTGAGGTCGATGAATTTCGTGATCTCATGAATTACGCCCCCCACCATCTTCCGAATGACAATCGATCTCTCACTCAGCCACTATTTCTTTTATTCGCACGAGGAAGTCGTGATTTTCCTGGAGATAATGAAAAGGCTCAATCAATCAGCGATAATTACCCGTGACTTGTGTGCCAGGTGCGTATTGGCGGGATGATTGGACGATTTGATAAGGACTCGTTCCTGCGGGCTGGGGCTTTATCTGTGCATGATACGGCTGATTCGGGCGCTCTTTAACGCATGCATCGACCGGCGCTCCGTCCGGAAAACCATTCACCGTATTTATTGCCACTATCAGTGCGATGATCAGAATCGGTCCGTTTCGTGACATTTTTTCTGATGAATTTAACATTTTTTTTAATTCCCCCCAGCACGCCAATTACAGAATCAACATCAAATAGACAAGTATAATAACGAAATTAATAAAATCAACAGTATCAATCAAAAGTATTGCCACAAATATATCAATCAATAAACTATACTTCATCCAGTGAACCCCTCGTAATTGAATGTCACAATTCCCGAGATGAAAAAAGAACTCGAGAGAATTAAATTGAAAAGGTCACCTGTTCTCTCAGCAGATTTCCGGAGACGTTTGTATCCCAGAATTGGTCTCGAGTCGTCCTCTTGTAAGAACTGCCCGTAGTGAACTGCACGTAGTGAAAACCACGGCCTGCAAACGGGAGGTTGCACGTCAAAGTGATTGCAGATCCCACCATGGAATTCTCGCCCTTCTTTTTCAGGAGTCTTTCATTTTACTTGGGTGTCACTTTCGATAGGAGCGATTGCTCCGCCGACGGGACCTCCACACACCCAGAGAAATAACACATTCTAATCAAATAAAACTCCACTCGTTCCAAGTAGACGATTGATTAGTCTTTATTTGGATCGAGAAAACATTTATTTGAGCAATATTTTCGTTGAAAATTGATAAATATATAAATTGTAGATTTATTTGAATGAAAATGTTTCAATTATATGAAATGAATAATTCATTAATTCCAAATAAAGAACTGATTAGTCTCTATTTGGATCAAGTCAACATATTTATTCGTTTTCTAAAGAAATATTTATTTGATATGAATAAAAATAAGTAAAAATTGAGTTTAAGTTCATTTATTTGATTTAAATGAATTATTCCTCTGGTTTTGTTTTATGTGCAATGACTGTATTAAGATGTATTAGCTGGCAATTCCAGAGTGAGAAATACTGCTCCAGCACTTCAGGCGTTTGCGTCGCCTCTCGTATTTTGACTCGGAATATTCCGCATTATGAAATTCAAATGCCTGTGGAATTGAGGATTGATGCATGTAATGTCTACAAATTGAATGCGGTCGTTTGTTCGGTCCGATTGATTGGGCGTATTGTCACTCCTACAATCCCGTTTGTCAATCGATAAATGGGAGAATTCACCGCACATTTGTATGACTCCGGTTGAATGTGCTATTATGGTCATTCATCGGCACGAGGAATCTATCACTCGTTTTATCTCTCTATATAATAAAAAAATAAGGGCAAAATTTAAGACAATTCAGGCGACGCAAAAATTCAGGCGACGC